CAAGGTGGGTCATATGTATGGGAAATGTGAAGAACAAGCTAACACATTTACACTTACAGCTCCATAGAAAGCTGGAGTAAGATCTGGGATGAAGATCTCAGGATAAATGGTTTGTAGATACCAGGTGAAGTTCTTGCAGTGTAAGCGCTCCTTCAGCTCAAGCCGCTCAGAGAGATCTCCGTATGTTTTCTGACAAAACCACAGAGAGAAAGAGTGTATCAGGACATGGGGATATTAGCATCTCCAGACTCCACTGTTGGATGGAACTAATTCTTAAAGGACTTGTGTATATGAGTAAACACTACAAAACAAATAATTATTCAACTTCTTTCATTCCTTGCTTTGTACAATCCTATGATTAAAAGTGTGTTATAGCATACCAGGATTCCTTTGCAAAGATGGGACTCAGTCTCAGAGTCTTCAATATCAGATATTCCAGTTGCTCTACTTCCTAAAACACTTGAGTTTTTTGCAGGTAATTCCTGCACCAACATTGAGCAAATATGAAAAACATCTTCTCTGCCTCGGTGGCAGGCTGGGCACTCCAGTGTACTAGGACTGAGACAACTTTAAGTACTTGGAGCCTAGGGTTACAAAGTATTCGCTACTGTAAGGGATGTTTCATATAGGGTTTCGGGTGTCCCTTATAATAAGAGATGTCTTCTATTTGCGGGTTCAAAATATTTTCCTTTTATACAGACTGAATTAAATGCCAAAAAATGCCTTATTTGGGCCCTTCATCAAGACAGAAAGGTGTGCATCGTGTACTTATGGATGTCGACAATATATTAATTTTCTAGAGAAGCATATCAATACTTTCATTTGGTATTTAGGTACAGCAAACACTTGATAATAGCTATGGATTCTCAATCCTGCATGTCATGAATTTTGATAGTTCCCTTATTGCTGTTTTCAAAACCTGGCAACATTGTTGGAGCCCCTCTCTCTGCTGAAACAATAACTAAGAAATGACCAACCAGGTGATCTTGCTTGCTCCTGTGAGGCTCCTTTTCACAACTAAGAGGATTCTCTTTCACTACATGTTAAATAGGCACTGGTTCTCCAGCCTTTGGTGACTCAGGCTAGGATAACAAGTGATATGGACATTCTAGCTACTGAAGAATAAAACAAATCAATCTTTCAGAATCCACATTCATGGAAAGCTGCTTTAATACCTCTCTAGCCATCTGAGAGGCCTGCTGGTTTCTCCTGTAGAAAATTTCCTTATAGTCATCCATCCAGACCTCTGCCAAGCGCACTTGATTTCTGGAGATCACTTGAGTTCCTTTGGGGAAGGTGTGTGGACTCTTGGAACGAAAGACATGGCCAACCACCGAGCAGGGAATGATCTCCAGCTGACCACCACACTGCCAAACCTGTGAGAAAGTGTGCCATTCATATTAAAAAGGGGAAAAAACTCTTAAAAGCAGTATCAGAGTTCCTGGGCCTGAATAAGCAACACTCATATACGAAATCAGCATGCAAAGGGATCGTGTAGCACCTTTGGGACTGACTGAAAGAAAAAAGCTAGTAGCATGAGCTTTCATAGACTTGAGCTTACTTCCTCAGATGCATGAGAAAGTTGGCTCAAGTCTATGAAAGCTCATGCTACCAGCTTTTTTCATTCATGGCTATGTCTTTGAATTCATATATGAAATGTGTGACTATCTGACTCCCTTCCCTCTGTTTGAAGAAGAGAAACACAGAGAGATGTGATACATAGTCACATATATCATATATGAATTCAAAGACATAGCCATGTTAGTCTGGAAAACCAGTATGCAAAGGGATCGTGTAGCGCCTTTAGGACTGACTGAAAGAAAGAAGCTGATAACATGAGCTTTCATAGGCTTGAGCCAACTTTCTCATGCATCTGAGCATCACATCTCTCTGTGTTTCTCTTTTTCAAACAGAGGGAAGGGAGTCAGTATGAGGATGGTGGAATGTGAGCCTAAAAGGGAAGGTTATCCATATCATTTAATCAAAAGCCATCCCTTTCCCATTGCAGGGAAGCTCTTCCCAGTGGGAACTTTCTTCTCTTCTAGAAACAGCAGCCTTTGGGGGATGACTGTAATATGTGCTGTAGAGTGAGGTCTCCCTTCATGTGAAGGAACTCATCCTAGTTCTGATCACCATCACTGCTCCACAGCTTCTATTTGTTTTAAAAAAGGTAAAAATAAGCCAGGTACAAGAAATGTTAGAGAGTCAGTGTGGTGTGACAGATAAGAATGTCAGACTGAGAATGGGGAGATCCATCCAGATCCCCCAGTGACCTTGAGCCTGCCAGCCCAACTTACGTGAGATAAAATGGGGAATGGAGGGAAAACCACATGCTCCATTGTGAGCTCCTGACAAAAAACATGGGATACAAATTTAAGAAAATAAAAGCAGCTAAAGCAGCTTCATTTATATACCGCTTGATATCACACTATGGGATGTCTAAGCGGTTTACAACTGTGAGCTGACTGCCCCCCAACAAGCTGGGTACTCATTTTAGCGACCTCGGAAGGATGCAGGCCTGAGTCTAGCCTCAGCCCTGGCTGGTATTGAACTCGCAACCTTATGGTTTATGAGTGAGTGGCTGCAGTACAGGCATTTAACCATAAAAGTAAGTGTCTATAAACATCGTGAAGCCTGCCTGCCTCATGACCAAAATCTTAGTGATTTTGATACATCTTGTCAGAGAGAGTCATGGGACCCTTCAATTTCAGAGCCTAAGTCCTCCAAACTCCAAGGAACCACCGCAGGGGAAAGCAGAAGACCCTGTTTGCTGGGATTGGCCAAGATGCCTCACTCACCAAAAAACCTTCCACTTCAAGAAGCTACCCAGGAACAAGGGAATTCAGGTTCTTTATCTTCAAGACTGATAATAAAATGTTCTGAGAGCAATGAATATCTTCGTGTGAGCATATATGGATCTATCTGTCTCTCTGTCTAAAACAGTGGAACTTTTTTTGGTAAGTACAGTTGACCCTTCGTATCTGCAGAGGTTCTGTTCTGGCAAATGGCAAATTCCATTTGGCAAATTCTGTGGGACCTCTAGTCCGATTCTCCTCAATGGTGGTGCAATATGTGCATAACTGTGTTGATATGGCGCATGTATGTGCTACCATTGAAGAGAATGGGGTGGGATCATCCAATCCAAGGATGGCAAGCCCATGGAAAGGAAAAGCTGTCAGTGTTTCTGTGTGTATATGATGAAGAGGGCACTTCTGTAGGTAGCTGGTCACTCAGGAAGACTGCTTGAGTTATTTCTATTCCTGCTGTTTTTTTCCTTGTTGCTACAATATGACAGTCCCCACAGCATTCAGCTTTTTTTGTGTGTAAGTACTATTCATATGAAAGCTGCTATTCATATGGGCTTTTAAAAAATTAACATTAATATCAGCAAGTTCGCCATATACAGCAGGAGTGAGCAACTTGTGCCCTGCAGATGGTGTAGAACTGTGACTCTTATCAATCTTAACCAGCATAATCAAGAATGAGGAGGGGATAAAGGTATATGCAGCACAAAATCTGGAGAACCATTAGTTGCCTACCCTAAATATATGAGGATTATATGATAATTAAAGTTTTTCATTTCAATAATGAACAGAAATACTTTCTCCCATCAGTAACTCTTTTTCTTAATTTCTTTCCTTAACATAAATCTGTTCAAATCTGTTCATATCACCAAATATGCATTATCTCAGATTGCCTTATGCCTTTCCAATAATTCTAGGATTTTGCAATAATGTGGAGTTGGTGCTTTCTGCAACCAAATTCAGTACACATTCTTTACAGATTAAAACTGAGCCTTTTGTCCTCACAAATGGGGAACAACCACTGTTTTTCTATTTTAGTATTCAGGAGTAGGTGTAACTTGAAGCCTACATACCTACCAATGATTCATTCAGAGGGAGGTCTCTGACATGATACTGAGCTGAATTGCAAGCCTAGTCATGGCTGCAACTGGACTAATTTGAGGATTTTTCTCTTTTATCCTCCAGCTCCTATTTTTGCACTACTTTACCTAAAGGAGAATTCAGGGAAACTCAAAAGCTCACATACTCATTACATTCTGATTGTTCCTAACAAAGTGCAGCAGCATCACATTGCTGTATTTAAGCTTAAACTAAATCAGTGGGCCAGTATGGTGTAGTGGTTTGAGTACTGGACTATGACTCTGGAGACCAGGTTTTGAATCCCTGCTCAGCCATGGAAACCAACTGGGTGACCTTGGGCAAGTCACACTTTCTCAGCCTCAGAGGATGGCAATAGCAAGCCCACTGTGAAGAAATTTGCCAAGAAAACCCTATGCATTAGGGTGACTTGAAGAAATGCAATAACAGCAACAACAAAAGCAGTATAGTATTGCTCACTGGAGCATCTTGTGCCACTTGCCATCCCTCAGCTGTACAGGGCTGCTGTTAAGACTAGGCAGGTTACCCAGAACTTTTTAGAGGAAAGGTAGGACAAAAATGTAGTAAAATTAAAAAAACAATAAAACCAAATATGGTCTTAAAAAGGATCTTGGAAGTATCTGCATGAAATGCATTTGCCTCTAACTTATGCTGCTGTAGGATATCTTTTTCATTATAACCATGTTGCCTGGGGGTCATGGAAATTAATAGAGTGACCAACTTACTGGGAAGGCACTAGTTTGGGAAGGCTGTTGAAAGTTTATATATGAAGTTTTAATTTTTTTCCAAACTTTATTCAAGATCTTTATTCATCCATGATTTTTGAAGGAGCAGCAATTCTAAAATTAAACTTACTGAATACTCAACCCAAAATATCCTAAAGCCAGCACATCACAAGAGATCTAGCCATAAAACAAAAAACACCCCCCAATCCCTATGTTGTTGTTGTGTGCTTTTAAATCATTTCTGACTTATGACAACTCTAAGGTGAACCTATCATGGGGTTTTCTTGGCAAGATTCATTCAGTGGAGGTTTGCCATTGCCTTCCCCTGGGGCTGAGAGTGTGTAACTTGCCTGAGGTCACCCAGTGGGTTTCATGACAGAGCTGGAAATCGAACCCTGATCTCCAGAGTCATAGTCCAGCAGTCAAACCATTATACCATGCTGACTCTTGGCCCTATTCTGTGAATATTAGTTTAGTTGGAAGATACAGAAACCTTCCCCATACTCACAGCTCTCCCATAAGCATCATATTGTACCTTTCCTTCTTACCCGAAACGACATCTCTACATTCTCTCCTCCCCAGATCTCCATCTGATCATCATAAGAGCCAATGTGTTCAAAATAGGTCTTGGAAATGGCAAAGAGGCCGCCAGCAAATGTAGGAGTCCTGAAAAAGAAGTGTCAGTTATAACTAGAACCTGATGCAGAAAGGCAGATGCTTATTGAACAGAATATAAAAGCAGATGCTGTTGCAATGCATGTTTCAACTTCTCTGAAATTCCTGGCAGTATGTGCTGAGATTATACAGTTCATGTATACAGGCCTGAGGCTTGCTACTTAACAGCTGGGAACTACAATTTGCTGAGAAGGTTTTCCTCCTCCCTCCTACTCCTACATAGTCCAAATTGCATTTGGCAGGTGAAGTCCCATCCAGGTACGCCTTGTCTTATGGACATTGGTGAGTCATCCCAAATTTTAAGATCTTAAGGAGAGGTTTTTCCCCCTCTTGATTCCACATTTGGTCATGACACAGGAGTAAGCCTTCTCAAAGGCTGCTCCCAGACTGTGGAACTCCCTTCCACAAGAGGTTCAGTTGTTCCCTCTCTGCTCTCCTTCCACCAGCACTCCAAGATCTTTTTATTTAAGCAACTCTGTGGTGTTTAAATAATATGGCAGAAGGCTGCTTTGAATGCAGGGAGCTGTGCTTTTATCTTTTAATTACCTTTTAAATGTCCCCCCTACCCCATTTCTATCTTCATTCACCAAATATACTAACAAATTTCTTATAAAGTTAACTGCAAAACAAATAACACATTACACAATACATCTTAGTCTTGACAATTCCATATACATCCATTCTTCCAAAAATGTTTTTCAGTAAAACACGCGTAACACTTAAATCTTGACTTTCTCCCATACAAGTCTTGCTTTTCTTTATATCTTAAGTTCATCTGATAACAAGCTTAACTGTCCAATGCTATCTTGAATAAAAAAACTAGAAAATAACATTTTAACTAGCTTTACCTTCTTCCTTTTTATCTCATAAATTCCATATTTATTTTAACATCTATATTTCATTCAATCATTTTGTGTTTGTTCTTGATTTTTCAATAAATATGCATACACACACACACACATGTATGTGTATTTCCACATTATCTTGTTTATAAAGGTAACCTTAATCTTCATCATTTGTAGAAGATTATAATCCTTTGTATTACATTTTTTCCTTCCACCTCTTTTCTAATTTATATTCTTGTGAATGATTTCAGTGTTTTTACTTTATCTTCTCCACTCCATCTAATTTTCTATGATAAAGGTTTTTTCCCAGCTGTGTTAACTATCTGCTTTTTAAACTGGATTGTTGTTTTTTTGGTTTTCTTTTTGAAGAAAACGTTTGTAAAATAAGATTTTAGTTGGGATTTGCTTTACATTTTTGTAAGTTGCTTTGAGTCACTTTCTGGGAGAAAGGTTGGGCATAAATTAAATAAATAAATACATAATGCTATGGGCAGGAGAAAGTCTTTTTCTTTTTCTTTTTCTGCAGTATCCTTGAGTCTCTGAGAGGAGATTAAGATAGCTTTTCAAGGTCCATTTATGTAAGCAATCAGAAGTAATCTTTTGATGTTTTGATGTTCTGTCACTTTTAATTTTTTAAAATAAAAATATGGCTGGCTACTAATGTTAAAATGCAGTTGAATACTTTATGGAGCTTTTAAATATTTGTATCCTGCTCTCACATAAAATTCTCAGTGCCCTACTGTCCAAGAAACTCATCAGAACTATACCTGTAAAGCTTCACAAATGCAAAGTCTGGGGTCCCTAGATCATTCATTGACAAGGTCCCTGCCTTTACAATATGTTTTCCCCCCAAGATTTTCCCAATCTTTCTAATTCAGCTGGGTGTCTTATGTTTCATGCTCATTTTAACAAGACTTCTTTAATCGTTTCCTCCTCCAGTTCTTGGTGTAGTAAAATTTTGTAGAATTTGGCCATTTTATTCTTGTCTCTTTCCCCGCATTATTTTCTCTGAGCCTTTGCCTTCTTTTTCAAATCCATCTAGCTTTTGGTCCATTTAATATCTCTCTTTCAGTTGTTTATATGTAAACCAATTACATATATGTATGTGTGTTAATGAAAATATTATATTTTTTTAAAAAAAGAACTGCTTGCTGTTAATTTTAAAATCAGGTCACAACTTGTCTTGAATTATGGCAGAGCCAAAATAAAAAGGGTGTTTTCAAAAACTTATTTTGAACAAACCAAGTTAAAAATTATAATAACTAAGGCCTGGAAGAGTGAATAATTGATGTTTCTGTTGTTGTTTCCTTTGCCAGTGCTGCAGAGAGTAGGCAGGAATGGCAGACCACGTTTCTGGCCAAGAGGAGGTGCTCTAACCCTATGAATGAACTTAGGGGGTGAGCTATCCTTTCCACCCACCCATGAAGCAGCTGGAGAAATAAAGAAGCCCTTTCAGTCACTGCTGCCTTGTATACGTGCAATGTGCTTTCAAGTCAACTCTAACTTACGGTGATTCTCTCATGGGTGTTTCTTGGCAAGGTTTATTCAGAGGAGGTTTGCAATTGCCTTCTTCTTAGGATGGATGAGTGACACCTGATCTAGAATGCCCAGTGGATTTCAGGGACTAAGTGAGGATTCAAAACCTGTAAGCTTATCACACCGCACTTCGAAGAACGGGAACGTAACAGAACGCAAGGGAATGGAACAGAGCAAAAACGCATTTTACTGCACGGGAGAATGCCACTGTTCGTCCTTCAAAAATCGGCTGCCAGGAACAGCATTGGTAGAACAGTGTTCTATTCCATTCCTGTTCCTTAAGTGCCGTGTGATAAGCTTACTGGTCTCCCAGAGTCCAGGTCCAAGACACTAGCTGCATCTACACTAGAGACTTAATGCAATTTGATACTGCTTTAACTTCCTTGGCTCAATGTGATGGAATTCTGGAATTTGTAATTCTATGAGATATTGAGCCATCTCTGCCAGGGAGCTCTGGTGCCACAACAAACTACAAATCTCAGGATTCCATCAGATGGCCCCATGGCAAGCAAAGTGGTGTCACTGCATTAATTCTGCAATGTGGAAGCATCCTCAAACTTCCATACCACATTGGCTGGCTGCAGCCTTATATTATTACTGTTCCTTGGTAATTCTCCCTTTTTGTATGCCATCTTGGAAGGCATATTGTTAAACTGAGAGATGGGATGTAAATACATTAAGCAAAGAGGAGAAGGCAAAAGAGGTGTGTATGTGTGTACACAAATCCTTGTTTTTTGAAACCAACACTCCAAACAAACACATACATTTAGGGGCATAGATGGTGGTGATGGGAGGCTGAGGCCTAGGAAATTGCAGAATGGCACTGGGGGTGTGAGCCGCACCAGGTGACTCCCTAGGGGAAGGTGACACCACTGCTCCCAAAGTATTTGACTTTTGGCAGAAATGGGCTGTGGTGTTTACTTGCATCCCTTTAAAACACTGGAGCACAGTGGAAGTGATGGTGTGAGTGTAGCAGGGCTCAGTGGGAGGAGAAAGAAGTGGTTTTTAAATTTAAACTTAAAAAAATAAATTAAAATTTTAGGTTTTTAAAAATAAAACATCTTACCAAATTTTCACTTTAACCACATGTGTATATGACACCATGGTTACCACACCGGGTAATGCCGACCCTAGTGACACCAGTGAGAAATTGTTCAGCATTTTCATCTCTTCTCTTGCCACTCTGTTCCAACCCTCCCCACCCCACTTCTTAAGTGACAAATTAGCTGGGATGCTTACTCAAAAAACAAAACAAAACAACAAGCAGTGGGCCCAGAACTATCAGAGAATATAGGGATGGAGGCAGTGGTGGTGAAGAGTTTTTTGTTGTTGTTAATCACCCTCAAGTTGATCTTGACCCATGGTGATCCTGTGGATGAGACATCTCCAAGACTCCCTGTCCTCCACTGCACTGCCTAGTGCCTGCAAACCTATACCCGTGATAGAGTCTATCCATTTAGCATGCGGCCTTCCTCTCTTTCTATTTCCCTCCACCTTTCCTACCATTATTTTTTGTTCAGTGAGTCCTCTCTTCCCATGATGTGTCTGAAGCATGACAGCCTCAGTTTTGTCATCTTGGTTTCCATGGAGTTTTCTGGTTTGATCTGTTCTAGGACCCACTTGTTTGTCTTTTGGCTGTCCATGGGATCCTCAGCACTCTTCTCCAGCACCACATCTCGAATGAATTGATTTTCTTGCTATTTTCTTTCTTAACTGTCCAGCTCTCACATCCATACATAGTAATAGGGAATACAATGGCTTGTATGATTGTAACATTTGTGCTCAGTTGTGTATCTTAGCATTTTATGATAGTTTCTAGTTCTTTCATAACCACCCTCACCATTCTTAATCTTCCTCTGATTTCCTGGCTGCAATACTGTTTCTATCAACATTTGATCCTAGGTATGTGAATTCTTTTACAATTTCTATTTCCTCATTGTCTATGTTGAATTTGGGTAGATTCTTCATGGTCATTATTTTTGTTTTCTCTGTGTTCAACAGTAAGCCTGCCTTTGCACTTTCTTCCTTGATCTTTCTTAGTAGTTGTTCCAGGTCTGTGAAATGTTCTGCTAGTGTTATGATATCATCAGCATACCTTAGATTGTTGATATTCCTTCCTATTTTCACTCTTCCTTTTTCTGTTTCCAAGCTTGCTTTCCTTACAATATGTTCAGCATATAAGTTAAACGGGTAGGGTGATGATGCAGCCTTGTCTGACCCCTTTGCCAATTGAGCATCATTCTGTTTCTCCATGTTCTGTTCTGACAGTAGCATTTTGTCTGAAGACTCTTGGTGAAATGTTAAGAGAGAGATAATCGGAGGCAAATGCTGGCTGATCCCACCAGCCACAGACAGAATTCAGCCACAACACTGAGCAGGCTGGAGCCCA